CCTATAATTCACACTCAATGGGCAGGCAAACAGCCCTTTTCACGGGCCTGAAATGAATGGATGGAGCAGAACTATAAATACCGACCTTACTTATTAAAAACAAAAAGAAAAAAAAATGATAAAAAGAAAGAAAATCCACAAGAGACTCTCCCCAAGCTTCTAAGAACTAGCCTTATGGATTCTCACTCTGAAGTAGGTGAGAAAAAGGGCTTTCCCGAGAGAGATGTTTAAAGTGAGAGGGTATATCTAGTCAGAAGGAATTCTCTTGAAGATTCTATCCTTTGTAACTAGCCCTGATGAAAGGCATGAGATAGAAGAGGTGTGTGGTTCCAATTGGGGTCTACAGTGAGTCACCTACATAAGAAACGAGTTCTGAGAGTGTGTTCAAAAGTCCAATTTGTTCGTAGTTAAGTCCAACAAAGTCAGCCTGGGTACCCAACTAACACGATCGGCTATACGGTACGGTACTATAATAGTTTCACAATATTTTTCACACATACATAAAAACAAACAAAAAATAAACATTTTCATTCTTACAGTATCTTGGAAAGAAGAGGAGTACAGCACAACATCCGGCACCCCGGGGCTGGCGCTTATGTTCACATCTCTGAAAGTCTGCAACTCGAAGGTTTGTATTTGGATGGAGGGGACTTTCTATACTGAGGACTGTGCTCTCAGCATGACCAGCAACAGTAACGTGAAAGAGAAAAGGGGGGTACTTATACCTTTTGTCCCACTGTCCTCTTAAATCCATGTTCATGCCTTAATCTCCCTACTAAACTGCATACTGTCCCTTCTTTCCCAGGAAAACATATAACCCCCAGTCTTTTCTTTATACTCTTTCATTTATTAATCTGTTCATTCATTTATAACTGAAAGACTGTTTATTTAATACAAAAACATTTACTGAGAGCTCTGCCAGTTTCTAGGCAGGCAGAGATGACAGAAGTTCTCTGTTGACAAATCCTATCCTACGTCATATCTCTCAGAAGTCTGCTATAGAATCTGGATTCATCTGTCTTAAAACTTCCACAGACCTTGTTATCTTAAATGTCAACACCCAAACCCCAACTCCAACTGGGATCCTACAGGGCCTTTTAACAGGAACTCTGTTATCCCAAGAATTACTGATGAGGGAACTATGAACACAGAGGCATGGCCAATAATGGCCCACATGACTCTCCTGAAATAAGGCCATTTTTCACTCTCACATATATTTGAGCTAGAGGAAAGAAAACAGGTGAGATTAGGGACTAAGTACCATGCTCAAAATTAAACTAATGTGTTCCTAAATTCTGGATGACATATTTCCTCCCTTTTGAGTTTGACTTTTCTTATTGATATGTACTCTGCATCTCTATTATTTAATCATTGTAATAACAGCCCACCTACAATCTGTCCTGTGATTAGATTATATAAATATATTTATCACCACTCTGCCAAAATATTAAAGAGATTGGCATGTGTACATGTGCTTTCTCTGATGCACACCCTTAACTAAACCTGAAAGAAAATGTATATTAATTTTTTTAACCTAATTTTCCTCTCCCATCTGGCTCCCACACTTTTCAGGAGCAATAGGAGCTCAGTCAGTAGTAAGACAATTTATTATTCTTTTTGCTGGGGAAAAAAAAAAGAGGAAAAGTGTTTAGCCACTGTTCACACCTCTTCAATTGATCTTTCCAAGTCTTCCTAGTTTCTGAAGGGTGGAAATGATGGGTCCCCTGGGTTCACTGCTGTTCAGTCAAGACCATGAGCAATTTACCTAAATTTACCTAAACCATAACCCATTTGCTGCATAATACATTTTATGGCATTTTAGCAGTAGACTGTCTGCAAAGCTTAGAGGTGGAGCACATGATATGATAATGAAATAGTGGTGCCATTTGGAAATGTGAAGTGCTAAGCAAATACACAGCATGGCTTTATCATTGTCGCCTCATTCTATTTAGGTGTGAAGAATATGCACTTTAATTTCTTCCTCAATCTACTTAGAGGATTGATTTTTTCAAGAGTTCTTGGTTTATACCAGTGCCCAAATGTAACTTTTAAAAGGCTCCATTTTCACATTCGTTTAAAACTTTTGTTTGGAGCAATCAGTGTAGAGTGTTGTGAGCCATATGACTAAATCTTGCCGATTTTCCCAAAGAGAAGACAGTCTCTCAACTAAGGATACTGAGTTAATGTGAAAATTTAATAAGCTTCCATTTCATGGTTCCAGGTGGGCCATCAGAATGGCAACTATCTTTTTAAAAACACTCTTAGTAACCCCCAAATACCATCTGTTGCAACACCACATAGAGAAATGTTGCTTTAGGACTCTCTTGATGAGGACCAAGAGACCAACCGGAGCGGCACAAATCCGCGGTGTTCAATGTTATTTCTGCACGTCTCCAAGTGGCACTGCCCGTCAGCCACTCTGTGCATGTCAAGAACTCAGTGGAGCCGTGGAAACTGTGTCTCTGGAGTGGGCAAGTGGGAAAGTGAGCAGACAAATCATAAAGAAACTCCAGCCTCTGGAATCTGTTTTTTCCAAGCTAGGCAGGGTTAACTGCAGTCACACCAGTGGCATCTAATGAGTGATTCTATATACGTGTCACCATCTACCTAAAAGCTTCCCATTTCTACTGGCTCTTAATAATAATATTTGCAAAAAAGAATGAGGAGCAGCCTAGTTTAGAATCTGACGTCTAAATATTCATTTACAGCTGAACGAATGAAAATTCAAATAGACGACCTTTGCAACTGAGTGAATTCCCAGAGGGTTGTAATATCGTTACAAATGAAATGGGAAGGGGAAGAAAAGGTTCTTAATTTAAGCACTCTTCTTGACCATAGGTGGATGGTCATTTTGGTTTAAGACAGTCCTGGACGCAGTGGTCAAAACTGTCCTAAGAAATAATTGGGATAGCAGAAAATAAAACATATAAACCAATCTCCTGTGAGATGCCAACCAAAATAGGATTTGAAAATATATCTCATGGATTAATTTTCTTCTTTTCACGATGATAAACCTCTAGTTAGAGATAGGATATAAAAGCCCTATAAAATCCTATGTGCAGAGGGTGTGTCCATATCTTGGGGGCTCATTTTCAAACTGTTGCTCTGTCTCTCCTCCGCAGCTGTCCCACAACCTTTTCACTATTTCTGGCTCCATCTGTTCCAGCTTATTTCCAGCTGCTACCTTGAGGAACGGCCACCGCAATCGCCACCTTAGCACATAATTTATCTTGCTGTGACCGTCTCTGGACTGCCAGTCTGTTGAGTGGCCCTGTGTGTTCTCCTTCTGTCATGTGGCTATAAACCAACCTGGCCCACCCATTTTGGGGGTTGGTGTACTGTATCTATACACCTGCACGCCTCCACTCAGTCGATCCTTTAAGAGCCTTATCTCCCATTAACATTTTTTTCCCATTTGACAAGTTGACAACTCAAAGGGACAAGAACCTTTACTTTCCTAATATTTAAAACTGTCCTCGAAAGAAAAATATGTTGACTTCATCATCAATACCTATCCAGTCATGGTACCTAGTGAAAATGTGGTCTTTGTAGAGAAAGAATTCAATTTCCAGGGACAGTACGCAAATCTCATCCTCATTTGGCATCAGCTTTTCCATCTGTGGGGCTTCCCTGGTGGCTCAGAGGTTAAAGCACCTGCCTGCAATGCGGGAGACATGGGTTCGATCCCTGGGTCGGGAAGATCCCCTGGAGAAGAAAGTGGCAACCCACTCCAGTATTCTTGCCTGGAGAATCCCATGGATGGAGAAGCCTGGTGGGCTACAGTCCACGGGGTCGCAAAGAGTCGGACATGACTGATTCACTTTCACTTTTCCATCTGTAAAATGGGAAGCTAAATAAGCACCTCAGAAGATTGTTCTGAAGATTAACCACAGTAACAGAAAGAACAGAGTCTCACCCTTTAACGTACACAGAGAGAACCTGGGAATCTTGCTGCAATGGAGATTCTTATTGGTAGATCTGGAGGAGGTCCCTAGACTGCCCCTGCAACAAACTCCCTGGCAAAGCTGATGCTTCGAGCCATGGGCAACACATTCAGGAACAAGAATGGAGGGCTCTGTGCAGAAGTCCTGTGATATCCTGGCTCTTCAGTTCACCAAAAGTCTAGAAGGATTCATCTAACACCGTGTTCACTTCTCAGGTTGTATTAGAATGCATATTACGAGAACTACTGCTTTAAGTTAATAAATGTGGGAATAGGCTCTGCAGAAGACTCTACAAAAATACTCATACAGGGGCTTTTCTGGAGGTCCTGTGGTTGAGATTCTGCCTTCTAGCGCAAGGGGTATGCGTTCAATCCCTGATCAGGGAGTGAAGATCCCAGAGGCCTCACGGCCAAAAACCAAAACATAAAGCAGAAGCAATATTCTAACAAATTCAAAAAAGGCTTGAAGAATGGTCCACATCAAAACAAACAAACAAAAAAATACACAAGTTCACACATAAGACTTGTAGATTTCCACCAACCCTTTCCTCCTCCCTTTAGTCCAGAAGAGCTTTGTGACATTCCTGCATAGGCATTGGGAAAACTTTCATGGCATTTTCTCCCCTGGGAGTGTGTAGGGAAAAATCAGAATAGATGTGTTAGAAGTAAGATCTGAGTGGGTGGCATGATCCATGTGTGATGGACACCCCAGAGTTTCCAGAAAGAACTCTGGGCTGAAGAGGAAGAGGAAGGGAACTGACAAAACCCTCTTGGGGTGGATGGCTGCCATGGGTCATTCTGGCTTTGTCAAGGCCCACCTGGCTCTGCTGTGGGAAGTGAGTCTTTTATTGGAGGCAGAAATTTCCTGAGAACTCCCCCTGGGCGACAGCTCGCTCACTGCCACACACAGGCTGCTGCAGGGAGGAGGCGGAAGATTGCCCGGGAGTCTATAATGGAGCTTCCTGCCCCACACAGGCCGCAAGAGCGATGCTCCTCTTGGCAAACATGCCCACCGGGGCCAGGAGATACCCAACCACGGACACGGCAGGCACCCATCTCAGAGCCTGGCAGCTGAGCCGGTGGCCAGGGAAGGCAGGCTGGGCAGTGGACTGCGGTCGCCGCTGATAAACGGGGAGGCCGCTGGGCCCTGCAGGGGCTGAGGAGACACAGGCCCGAGCGGCGCGGGCGCCCGAGCGGGGCTGCGCGGAGACACAGCGGCGGGGCTGCGCGGCGAGCCGCGCCCGAGCGGGGCTGAGCCACGCGAGCCCGGGTGGGCCCGTCCGCGGGGGCGGCCGAGGAGGCCACGCTCGCCGCCAGGCGGGGCGGAGAGTCTATCCTCACTGCCCGCCCCGCCTGAAAACAAAGACGGCTCAGAAGTAGGAAAATGCCACGTGGGGGGCCACGTGAAGGCACGGAGGGAGACAGAGCTATTTAACTCTCTCTCTCACACACACGCACACACACGCATACACGTATACACTCACACGCACACATACACTCACACACATACACACACTCAGACACACACAGGTACACACGCTCACACACACACATACTCACACATTCACACACACACACACATGCTGACACACACACGCACACACATGTTCACACACACATATACTCACACACATATACTCACACATACACACACACACATACACTCAGACACACACTTACAGACGCTCACACACACACATGCGCACACACATGCGCGCACACACACACACACATACACACACACTCAGACACAGGTACACATGCTCACACACACGTATACTCACACACTCACACATACACACACACATGCTGACACACGCTCACACACATGTTCACACACACACTTACACATACATACACACACACTCAGACACACAGTTACGCACGCACACACACATACACTCAGACACACACACTTACACACGCTCACACACACATACACACACATACACACACACACATACACACTCAGACACACACAGGTACACACGCTCACACACACGTATACTCACACACTCATACACACACATATACTCACACACACTCACACATACACACACACATGCTGACACATGCTCACACACATGTTCACACACACACATACACACAGTTATGCACGCTCACACACACATATACTCACACACACATACACACATGCTGACACACACATGCTCACACACATGTTCATACACACACTCAGACACACAGTTACACACGCTCACACACACATATACTCACACACACACATGCTGACACACACACGCTCACACACATTTCACACACACATATACTCACACATACACACACACATACACTCAGACACACACACTTACAGACGCTCACACACACATATACTCACACACACACATGCGCACACACACACTCACACACATACACACACACTCAGACACAGTTACACACGCTCACACACACGTATACTCACACACTCACACATACACACACACATGCTGACACACACGCTCACACACATGTTCACACACACATACTCACACATACACACACACATACACTCAGACACACACTTACAGATGCTCACACACACACATGCGCACACACACTCACACATACACACACACTCAGACACAGTTACACACGCTCACACACACGTATACTCACACACACACATACACACACATGCTGACACACACACGCTCACACACATGCTCACACACATGTTCACACACACATACATACACACACACACTCAGACACACAGTTACACACGCTCACACACACATATACTCACACACACACATGCTGACACACACACGCTCACACATTTCACACACACATATACTCACACATACACACACACATACACTCAGACACACACACAGACGCTCACACACACATATACTCACACACACACATGCGCACACACACACTCACACACATACACACACACTCAGACACAGTTACACACGCTCACACACACGTATACTCACACACTCACACATACACACACACATGCTGACACACGCTCACACACATGTTCACACACACATACTCACACATACACACACATACACTCAGACACACACTTACAGACGCTCACACACACACATGCGCACACACACTCACACACACACACACACTCAGACACAGTTACACACGCTCACACACACGTATACTCACACACACACATACACACACATGCTGACACACACACGCTCACACACATGTTCACACACACTTACACATACATACACACACATACACACACACTCAGACACACAGTTACACACGCTCACACACACATATACTCGCACACACACACATACACTCAGACACACACACTTACACACGCTCACACACACACATACACACATGCTCACACACACTCACACTGGTACATTGGGCTGGGAATTTCTTGGTGCAGAAAAGCAATCAGCAAGGTAGCAGGGAAAACTGCTGAAGGAGAAATATTATAAATGGCAACGGCCTGACAGGTTAGCCAGGCAAGAAGGCGAAGAGATTAGAGACGGGATTGAAAAGGCACCTGCGTTCACACGGGCCTCGTGGGGCCAGCAAATGACTGCACACGTGGGAAGAAGCTAGCAATGCCAGAGAGACAACCTCAAGTCTGCGAAGAGTTCAAGAAGATGCCATCTCCTAGTCGTCACAAGGCACTATGATTTTCTGGGGAGAAAGCTAAAAATAGAAGTGAACTGATTGATGGAGGAGGACACATATACACAGGCATAGATTTACTGGTATCAGGAATATACGCTAAGGCCCAGGGTAGAAAACACTACCAAACTCAGAGGAAGGGGCTGTCACTGCGGAATCAGGGAGGCTCCTCAGAGAGAAGGGGGCTCGGGGGTGGGGTGGGGGGGGGCAGTGACCAGGAGTCTGATTCTTAAGGTGGGTAACAAGAAAACGCTGGACATCTTGCTATTACTTTTAGAGAAAAATGTTTACAATACATTTAGTAAGAGGCAAATAGTAACAAAAGGTATTAGTGTGTGTGTTAGTCGCTCAGTCTTGTCCGCCTGTTCCTGACCCCGTGGACGGTAGCCCACCTGGCTCCTCTGTCCATGGAATTCTCTAGGCAAGAATACTGGAGTGGGTAGCCATTCCCTTTTCCAGGGGATCTTTCCACCCAGGGATAAAACCCAGGAATCCACCCAGGGATAAAATCCCTCATTGCAGGCAGATTCTTTACCATCTGAGCCACTGGGGAAGCCCTACCAAAAGGTTACAAGGCTTCTAAAGTATTTCCCCTTTTTAAAAGGCTTCTGTCAGAAAAATTTTGAAATCTGTTGGTTTATTAATACTGTCACATATGCACACAAGCCTAAACTGAATTGGAGAACGGATTTAATCATCTAAAATAGTTTAATGTAGCACATCACCAACTGTTTAATTGGTGTGTTTCCTCAAAACATGGTTTTGCCTGGGCGTTGAACTTTATGAGTAACTGTAACAACTTACTTCATCTATATCAAGGTTTCTAAACCTTGCATGCTCTGGACATTTTTGGACCAGATAATTCTTAGATTGTGGGGGTGGGGTGTGTGTGTGTGTTGGGGGGCTTCCTGTGCACTGTGGGTCAGCAGCATCTCTGACCTTTACTTACTAGCATGCCCTGTTGTGACAACCAAAACTATGTCTAGGCACTGCCCGATGATTCGGGGCAGGGTGGGGGAGATTACTCTCATTTGAGAGCCAGGAGTCTAAAGTATATCTAAGTCAGGGAACTCCCTGGCTGCCCTGTGGTTAGGACATGGTGCTTCCATGGCTCTGGGCTCAATTCCTGGCCAGGGAATTAAAGATTCTACAAGCCACACAGCCAAAAAATATAGTATACCTAAGTCTAGCTATCTAGCAAGCTTAGGCTAGAGGCTTACGTAGAGAAATAAAGGATTTTATGTATTGATCAGAAGATAGATTCCATAACCACTCAATTCCTTCTAAGGATTTTCTGAGATTCTCTGATTCTGAGAGAAAGTCTGCTAATCAATAATTAAAACAGCCATACATCTCACATTTTACTAGGAATGTATGCTTCTCATCTCATTTGTATCCCTTGAACCTTCAGACATGACTCCTTTAGCACTGCAGTATTCTGACTGTCGTATGCAGGTTCAGCTGTCATACCCAGGGATCACGGGGAACCAAACAATTGAGTCTCACCATATAACCATTATCAAAGGCTCTATTCTAAAACATGAAAGAAATCTACTTGATTTGCTGTTGTGAAGGGGACAAAATAGGACTGACCAAGTGCAAGAGTGTTAATTATTGATCAGACTTAGGAAAAGAAGTCTAGAGTTACACATACAGAACAGGTTAAAAACAATCTCTTGATCAGCCACAACCACGCTACAATTTTTATAGCTTTGCTTTTTTATCAACTGTCACAAAACACATTCCTAATATGTTATAATTCATGCAGGGTTCTCCTTACGGTTTTCTGTTGTGATGGATAAGCAATATTTAGTGCATCTGTGAAAGAATTTCTTTACCAAATTGTGCACAGTAAGGGATGCAAAATTGAACTTGATATGCTGTAAATAGCACCGAATTAGGTCAAACGCAGTTGTAGCATCCACAATCTCCAAGTCTCCATGAGCTCATCTGTTATATGGGGCTAATAATAACTTCCCTGACCTTTTAACCCAAATGAGATTTAAATGAGTGAATGCATATGAAATCAACAGGCACACCACAGACACATAAGAAATTGCTACTATATTCAAACATGATTCTACAATTAAAACTCCCTCCCTCCTTCCCAAGGGTTTCAATGAAGGCCAGAGAACTTTATTTAAAAATATTACTGAACACTGGGCTTCCCTGATGGTCCAGTGTTAAGACCCTACCTGCCAATGCAGGGGACATGAGTTCAATCCCTGGTCTTGAAAGATCCCACATACCCCAGAGCAACTAAGCCCGCATGCCACAACTACTGTAGCCACGTTCCTACAGCCCACGCTCGGCAACACAAGAAGCCACAGCAGCCAGAAGCCCAAGCACCACAACAAAGAGTGCCCCCACCTGCTGCATCTGGGGAGAAGGCAATGGCACCCCACTCCAGTCCTCTCGCCTGGAAAATCCCATGGACGGAGGAGCCTGGTGGGCTGTAGTCCATGGGGTTGCTAAGAGTCAGACACGACTGAGCGACTTCACTTTCACTTTTCACTTTCACGCATTGGAGAAGGAAATGGCAACCCGCTCCAGTGTTCTTGCCTGGAGAATCCCAGGGACGGGGGAGCCTGGTGGGCTGCCGTCTGTGGGGTCGCACAGAGTCAGACACGACTGAAGTGACAGCAGCAGCAGCAGCTGCACCTAGAGAAAGCCCACACAGCAATTAAGACACAGGACAGCAA